TGCTGGAGTACTATTCAGCGTTTTTACTATATTTCTAGGTTTCCTATTTCTACGTTTAATCGGCTCATGTCTCAGCCACAATATTTTGAGGCCAATATTATTTACGAACCCAGTTAAACTTATTTACTATCCTATTTCAACGTGCTAATTATTACATTTAGGCGACGCTTGTTGTAGACTGGCATAGTGTTTTCGGCAATAAATACCATTTTATACACATGCGCAGATCGATTCGCCAGCAGCGAGTCATCGCCAGCAGCAGCAAAACACTATTTTACACGGTACCAACGCTGTTCTAATATAGACAATGGGTCGTGCTCATATTATTTGTTATATTTTTATTATTCATTATTTTCACTTGACTCGCATAAATAATTTTGTTCGAAGAACATTTTATGCAGTTGTACTTCGCAGCACTTCACTTGCAATTTGCAATTTCTAGTTATTATCAATACTAAAGTCTTATTACAACTTCATTGATAAATCTCTGTTAATTATTATCAATCTCCTTGTTGATCAACTGATAGGTTGTTTGACTGGTGCATACTGATTCATCAATTTGTTTGTTTATATTTTTTGAGACTGTTTTGATAATTGCTTGTTAGTTGTTTTTGTGTGTGTGTGTGTGTGTGTGTGTGTGTGTGTGTAAAGGGTACACACCGACAGGAATTGTTTCTTCTGTGTGCTGCTTGGTCACTTCCTTTGTATATGAGCGAATTTCCAAATAATGATATTAATTGAATTGTAAATTGAGATATTAGCTTCATTTGAGTCCGAGTTATCGAAACACTGTGTCCTCTCCGGGAGCTTCAAAGTGCTGATGAAAGGACGCTCTCTCCTCTGGGTTGTTTGCTTTGTTTTAAATTTCAAGGATTTTTAATGGTTTAGTTAAATGGGTAATGTTTAACATGTAGTCCTACATTTAATTTGTTCGTAGCAAATATAGATTAGTCGTTAATACGGTGTGTCTATATGCACCAGATCCTGGTGAATGGTACCATCATCACCTTTTTGTAGCTATTTAATAATGACTTATACTTAGACCCTTTTATGTTTTGGTATAAAAAATATTAAATAATAAGAAGGCTAAACAATGTAACTTTATGCTTGAACAAGTAGCCATATTAGTCTATAATGCATAATCAGGAAGTTGGTATAGGCCTCTTGGAACTACTTTTTAACACCAATGGCCAATTTATTTCACAAAATTTAAAATGTACCATGGCTGATTACGGAATTCTGTTTGAACTGGACTGGCTTCCTCCTGATTTTAAGTTGAAATAATTTTATCTGATGCGGTGTTGAATTAAGATAAAAAGAGATTAATGCAAACCATAAGATTTTGCTTTTTTTAAATTTTTTAATAAGGCATGAATATATGCTTTTTTTTAATTTAATGAAATAGAACAGGGGTAAATAGAATTAGGATTAATAGCATGTGGTATAAAATTTTTGCCTAAATTCCAGAGATCGTAAAAAAATAGACAGGTCATTTCCTCCAGGTCCTAAAACTTAGGTCACTTCTCCAAAGCAGTCAATGAATGTCCGGTGATACAACACTTTCTAAAACAATTGACGAAGCAGCACAGGGATGGGTATTAGACACAACAGACAGCACACACGCAGAATCACAAAAGACGAAAACGAAGGATTTGAGAATGTAATTTGGTAAGGTAAACACGTATGCTATAAGTGGCCATTGTCAAGATTTGTTTATTTATTACAATGTCCTTCAGTAGTCTAACGTTCGCTGATCTTGTACATGTTACAATATGTTGATCCCCGTGCGACCATCTCTCGTAATCGACCACCTATCTTAAATAATAATAATAATAATAACAATAATAATAACAACAATAATAATAATAACAATAATAATAATAATAATAATAATAATAATAATAATAATAATAATAATAATAATAATAATATTAATAATAATAATACCTAGAGCATGGGGCGGATGCAGGATTTGGCGGTAGGAGGTGTGTGAAAGTCCATGAGAACATTTTGAGAAATTACACTCTACCTTAAAAATCTTACCGGCAATTAATATCAACAATACTATACAGCAATTACATTTCTCAATACGATTTAGGAGGGTGCGATCGCACCGTCTGCACCCACCCCCTGCATCCGCCCCAGAAAGAGCACACTCCTAGGGGTATAGCTCCACCCACATCATAATTCCCCCTGTATAAAATTCCCACGCACAAAATAATGAAAAACAGATCTGTATCTCCACCGGAATTTGAACCCGGGACGTATTGCTTGCAAAGCACCAAAATTTAATAATTTCTTTATTGGACAATGACAAACCATTTTAATAAGTTTCAACCAGATCCGATGTTGAGTTTTTAGATATTTAGGTCTGGAAGTGTAGCATTATAAATTACCTCCAAATATACAACCTAATCTAATTCGTCACCAAGATGTTCATTTCTTCCTTGTAACCTGGTTAACTGTTCCAGAAGTTTCATTCAGATCAGTTGATCAGTTTTTGAGACATATTATAGTCTGGAGTGTTTTTCTTTAATCTTCATATCCACACCCTACTTCGGATGGTCACCAAAATTTAATCATCATTCATTTGGAACATGACAAATCATTGTGGAATATTTTATTCAGACCCATTGATCAGTTTTAAGATATTTATTTCAGTTTAAATGGCCTTCCAAATTCACACCCGTATCTGATAGTCAACAAAATGTAATAACGTCTTCCATGCCTTGTAACATTATAACAGAAAGTTGCATACAAAGCAGTAGATCAGTTTTTGAGATATCTAGTGTGGAGTGATTTGCTTTAAATGGTCCCCACAATCAGACGCATTAATCCTGAAACTAGGCAGAAGGTTACTAACAAACATTCAAACACACCCCTCCCCCCACACACACCACACACCCCAACACATACAAAAATGAAAATATAACTTCCTTTCGGAGGTTAAATAAAATCAAACGAAAATATAACCTTGCGCATTAGTAATAATAAAAATAATAATTTATATAATAATAATAATAATAATAATAATAACACTAATAATAGTAATAATGAATAAATGAAGTTCTAAAGGACTAACAGGATGGAGTGATAGATTAAGCTCTTTGGGCATGTTTATAGCTACAGTATATCCAGTTCTTTTAGGCTATATGATTTGTATAATGATAATAAATGACAAAATTGAGACTAAACATGCTTACCTTGTGGATATATACTGTTGAAGTTGCTTATAAAAATTATGAAGCTAAAGAGCAATAGTCGTATATAATCCATGGAAGCCATTGGATACTTTCTGCCAGTCAATGTATTGCTTCAGAAGTACTGTACACACGTATTATCGCGTAAAGTTCCCATTCTACTTTTAGTATTTGGCCAGAGTTGTCGTCGGTATTTGACAGTGGGTGTAACCAAAAAACGTTAAATGACTGACCTTCACTTAGTAAAACCTTGTGATGGTACACCTTCGTATATATTTGAATAGATTGAAAGGTGCAGTAAACCGTAAAGATTATTCTGGAGTTGGCATTTTCTAAAAATTACAAAGCAATGGTTAATAATTATCTGTAAGAGAAAGTGTAATGGAACGTTACATTATTATATTTAAAACCGTATATATTCTGTCTCTTATACACATCTAGATGTGTATAAGAGACAGATCAGGAAGTTGTAATGTAAACATCATCAACAATTTACTACTCACTGACGTCTATAACAATATGTATAGCAACAATTAATATATATATATATCGCTGAGACAGCGAGAGGTAGCGGATTCGAGCGCATAACCATGCATAAACACACATATACACACGTACATACATACGCCGAACTTTTATTGAAGCGTTTGCAAAGAGGTAATGTTACTACTTTCTTCGAGGATGAAGACCCCGGTTCAAACCCCGCTAACGTCAGATTTTAATTGGATATTAATTGGAATAACTCTTACACCAGAGTGAAACGAGACAGGGGACAATAATTTCTAATTGCAAATTTGGAAGAATGATTTTTAAAAAATCGACTTATTTCAACATACAGATACTGCAGTATTATTAAAAAATGCTCTATTAAAATGTTGTCAGTATTATCCGAATAAGGTATCAAAAAGAATGAAATTATGTAAAAAAATGTGCACGTGCTATTATGTAGCTTACTTCGAACATGCACTTTGACCCTTTCTCCATACAAAGTTGGATCCAATACAAGTATATTAGGTACCGTACTGGGCAATAGGTTTAGTTTTTGTGAGTGAAACCCAACAACTTTAACTCAGGTACCACTCTCTGGTGTATATATACTTTCTAAAGACCCAACAACTGGCTCAGGAGTAGGCCTAATTTATCAAAACTACCGCAGTGATAAGTGACAGATTGGGGGTATGTGGAAGTGGAAGCTTAGACTAATATTTGAAAAATGTAATTGGTACCAGTACGTATTTATCAATACCGCTTCAGAACCTACTTATTATTATCTATAGGCCAACTTATTATTAATGCCAATTCAGATGCCTGGTTCTCACGAGAGCCCTAGTATCCGGATTGGGAGCTAACCGTTAGCGCTAACCGTTAGCACCTGCATGAGAACGCCCGATCGGTTAGCGCTAACCGCTAGCGGTATCCGGATGCGATTTTTTTTCAGTACGAAACATTTGCATGAAACTCCACTCGGGTTGTCTCGACTGACTCGACTCGAGTTTGATACGAACAAGAGCTTGCTAACCGCTAACGGTTAGCAAGTTGAGGGCGTTTCTATCATCAACCAATCACACGTATGCGTTTACAATTTCCAGTTTCTTATTGGCCAGTGATTCGATCATCATAATTATTGTTGGTATCCGAATCGGGATTTTCTTGCATGGACGCACGGCAGCTAACGGTTAGCAGGATCCGGATCCTGCTAACCGTTAGCTACCGTGTGAGAACATAGCCAGAATGAATTAAATTTTTGTTAACATGTGAATCATGGCCTCGATTTAGAGAAAGGTATGTTCAAGATAAACGACGTACAAAATGGAGTGCAGGTCTTCGTCTTGTTAAATATTGTTCCTAACTTCATATGAAATTTCTCTAGAGCCTAGTTCTCACGAGAGCCCTAGTATCCGGATCGGGAGCTAACCGTTAGCGCTAATCGTTAGCACCTGCGTGAAAACGCCCGATCGGTTACCGTTAGCAGTATCCGGATACCGCTAACGGTTAGCAAGCGCTATCGGTTAGCAAGTTGAGCGCATTTTTATCATCAACCAATCACACGTACGTGTTTACAATTTCCATTTTCTTATTGGTCAGTGATTCGATCATCATATTTTTTGTATCCGGATCGGGATTTTCTCGTATGGAACATAGCCCTAGTCAAACCCACACGTATTGATGCAGTTCACAGTATTATGAAGGTTTTTTTTTTTTACGCACTTGCCCTAACTCTTGAATCTGCCACTACTATTGATTCAAGAATAGTTGCCAAACGGTTTTTCATAATACAATAGAATCCCTATTAAAGAGACACCTTCGGGACCAAAAGGTGTATCTTTTATAGGAGTGTCCCCTAATAGAGGTAGTCCTATTCAAAGGGTTTCGGCATGCTGTGCGACGAACCAATCAGTTAGTGATATTGAGATCCTCATGCGTAGGCCTACAGGCAACCAGTGTACTTGAAAAAGAAGTGGAGATGTATGTGCAGGTGGTTGGACCATGCAATTAAGTCTGGCGGCAGAGTTCCACAATTTCTGTATTCGTTGAATCTCCTTCTGCTGAGGCTCACTGTAGAGTTGTCTCTTATAGTTCTAGACGCCCGAAAATAACATTTGAGGCGTTGTGGGCTATCATTTTCTTCTTTTTTTCTTTTTTTTTTTGTTTTTGTTTTTCTTTTTTTTACCTCCCAAAAGGGGGGCCGGGGCCGGGCCGCCCCCTCCTAAATCCGCCCCTGGACCATGCAATTAAGTCTGGCGGCAGAGTTCCGCAATTTCTGTATTCGTTGGATCTCCTTCTGTTGAGGCCACTGTAGAGTGAATTGCAGTAGTTAAGACGAGATGAGAGCTCGCACAGCACAGCATGACATGTATGTTGGTCAATAAAGCGCCTTATTCTCCAAAGATTTCGCAGATGGAGGTTGACAACACTGCAAATCTTAGTCACTTGTGAATTCATGCTAGCAGTTGAGTTGAACATTACGCCAAGATTACGAAGATTGGTGGTAGGCAATATTATCATGCTGCCATTGATATTAAGCTTGGTGTCTCTGACTTCATTTAGAGAAAAGTGAAGTTTAGAGGCACATACAATAAATTCCGTCTTCTCATCGTTTAACTTGAGTTTGTTTATATACCTCCATGGTTTACCGACATCCACTTCTGGGCATGCAACTGATAAGTCGATTGGTAAAAGAATTGGTTGGATTAAATGGTATGTATATCTGTAAATCATCAGCATACATGTTAAACTTAACACTAGGCGAATGCAGAATGTCACCAAGAGGGCAGATGTAGGCCTACATGGTGATAGCAAGGGCCAACAACAGAACATTGGAGGAGTCCAGGGGATGAGGCGTGGAATGCATGTCAGCAACACGTACACGGCTACTTCGGTTGCTCAGGTATGATTTGTCGCAGTTTGGTTATACCAAATGTTCGTTCTAAACGGAGATCGATATTGATGGTCCACGGTATTGATAGGTCACAGCACTAGCAAAACACCATGATGCTTATCAATAGACAGTGCGACCACATATCCCTGGTGGGACATCGGTAGTATCTTAAGCAGAGCAGTCTCCGTACTATGGTGGCGTATGTAGGCTAATTGCATGGGTTCACCAAGACCGTTATCGTCAAGATACACACTGAGCTGATTTAACAACTCTTTCTATAACTTTTGAACAGTACGGTAGAATCGAAACTGGGCGGAAGTGAATTATTGTCCAGTGATGATTTTTTAAGAACAGGTGTGATGATAGCTTCCTTAAAGTTACGAGGAAAACTCCAGATAGCAGGGAAGGATGACGACAACTTTTAGGTGGACATTGTGGGTAACTCATCCTTGGAGATGAAATTTTGTATATACCGTCCCCAAAAAAATCGTTTCATTCAAGTGTACCTTTAATGGCAAGTTTATAATGAGCTTCCTAATGCACAAGAAACAGAAGTACATATAAATAAAGTATTACATGAAAATCAGTGTAGGTGCCATGGATTTGAATCCTATATGAAAATGCACACACACAAAAGAAATTCCATGGTTAATAGCTAAAGTTAACAAAATTGGTATATACGAAGTAACACATGCAGTAGGTTCCGCGTATACCACATAAGTCGCCGTGGTCTAATGAGTATGGTACTCACATTAGTGATAGCGAGAGGTTGCAGGTTCGAATCCCGCCAGACACTTTTTTTTATGCAACTGAATAAAGGAACCTTTCGTTGAAAGGCTATGCTTGATGTGATTATAACACATTGTAACCACTCTTTTCCACCTTTTTCTCCAGTTCTTATATATTCAAAAAACTTTATCTCATTAACCGATCCCAAGCTTTTAGTGTATGCTTTTTGTGTCTTAGAAAAGTCGGTTATACAAAATATCAATTTTTCCCTACGGAGACTGGCTTTAACACATGCGCTTTCTGGGTCCTAGACCCAAATGGGCCCCGCAGCTGTCTCTTATACACATCTAGATGTGTATAAGAGACAGAACTTAAAGGGACAACCCTTAGTAAGGGTTTCGGCATGCTGTGCGACGAACCAATCAGTCAGTGATATATTGAGATCCTCATGCGTAGGCCTACAGGCAACCAGTGTACTTGAAAAAGAAGTGGAGATGTATGTGCAGGTGGTTGGACCATGCAATTAAGTCTGGCGGCAGAGTTCCACAATTTCTGTATTCGTTGAATCTCCTTCTGCTGAGGCTCACTGTAGAGT